AGGGAAAGCGAGGGCATGCGCCAGCGTGCTGCTTGGCTCACCTCGGTGATGGACTTTTTCAGCAGTGGGGCTATGGGCACCTGCTCCTTCTGCACATCAGGGCTCTAACAGGCAGGATCATGAGCTCAGGTGCCCAGTGGGCTGAGCTGGGAGGTGCTCAGCCAGCAGCTCTCCTGCCTGGTTTGGGGGCGGGCAGGCAGATGGGTTTGCACCCACCAGCATCTGGCTCCGAAGTGTCAGTTTGGTCCAGCTAAGCTGCGATAAGCTGCTGCCCTAGCTGTGTGACAGGGGAAGATGCTCCCCTTCCCCAAAATGCAGGCTCTGTCACCCCACTCTTTCGGGCACGGCAGCTGCTTGGGCACGTCCCATCTGGGCATAGCATTTGTGCCTTGAATGCCAAAAAGGCACTCGTGGGAAGTGTTCCCAAACCCATGCTCCCCCCACGGATCCCACAGTGCTTATCGCCCCCCTCAAAGGACAAGCAAGCTGTGGGGTGCTGGCCAGCAGTGCCCTCCCCACTGGGAGCAAGGTCGTGTGGTGGCACCAAGGACAATGGGGGATTGTCCTGGCACTGTGGCCCCAGAGGCTGCCCCGTGCCGGGAGCAAACAGGGAACAAAGGCAGCACTATGGGGGAGGACTGGGACCCCTCCCGCTTGTTTGCCTTGGACATGGCCAGTCCAGGGGGGTCCTGCTCCCCCTGGCCAGCACGGCTCCCCAAACCTTGCTGGCACCCACAGGGATGGCCCCCAGGTGCCCTGGGCCTGGGCCATGGTGAATGGTCCCCATTCCCAGGGAGCTGCGGGTCCCAGGATGCAGCAGGGCCTGGCAGGCTCCCTGCCACAGCTCCAGTCCCTCGGGCTTTGGGAAGCAGCACTGGGGAAGTCTAGGGAGAGGAAGGGAGGAGAGAAAGAGCCCTTGTGCCACACAATCCCGCGCCTTGTACCCAGGCTCAGCTGCTGCCAGAGCCCGGCAATACGCTGTGGACGGGAGGAGGAGGCAGGATGCCGGCAGCCGTGGGAACAGAGCATCCCTAATGCCCAAGGGGGTATGCTGGTAAGTATTAGTTCTGGTGATTGATAGTTTCCCTACGGCCGCTGGCATACAAGT